ATAATAATAATTAGATTTTAAAAATCTTGTCAAGAAAAATAAATTATATCAGTGTAATTACTGCTTTTATTAAAATGTTATCAACTTAAATGTAAATGACTTTTTACTCTAGACTACATTTAAAAGTGATATATATTCAAACAAATTTCGGAGGGGTTTTGAAAAATTTGAATGGACCGAGTAGCAAAGATTTTCTTGTTTTACCCATAACCTTGAATTGAATAGTGAATTAAAATTTTTGGTAGATTTAAGAAGAAAAAAAAATGCTTTTCAAGAGATTTATTATCTAAAATATAAGTTATGTATTAATATGCAATAGGAATGTTATAATGTCATACTAAGTTTACATGAGTGTAGATATATGTTTTTTTTATAAAATTTCTTTGACTCATAGGTCAAACTTAAGTTATATTATGGATAATGAAAACATAAACCAACCTAATAGAAAATTACCCATATATCCTTAGCAGTATATAATTTTTTCATAGGGAGTTGGTTTAAATGTTTAAATTACCAGCAGAAACACAGATCGTTATAGTATTCAACGTTTTACATTTAAGAACAATTGACTTCATACTACATGCTTTATTTAAGATAAATCATTGCCAACAATTCGTTACAATTATTTAAAAAAATAATAATAATTAGATTTTAAAAATCTTGTCAAGAAAAATAAATTATATCAGTGTAATTACTGCTTTTATTAAAATGTTATCAACTTAAATGTAAATGACTTTTTACTCTAGACTACATTTAAAAGTGATATATATTCAAACAAATTTCGGAGGGGTTTTGAAAAATTTGAATGGACCGAGTAGCAAAGATTTTCTTGTTTTACCCATAACCTTGAATTGAATAGTGAATTAAAATTTTTGGTAGATTTAAGAAGAAAAAAAAATGCTTTTCAAGAGATTTATTATCTAAAATATAAGTTATGTATTAATATGCAATAGGAATGTTATAATGTCATACTAAGTTTACATGAGTGTAGATATATGTTTTTTTTATAAAATTTCTTTGACTCATAGGTCAAACTTAAGTTATATTATGAATAATGAAAACATAAACCAACCTAATAGAAAATTACCCATATATCCTTAGCAGTATATAATTTTTTCATAGGGAGACGGTAAATACATAACATAAGTAATACAATATAAATTAGTAACATATTTGTAAAGTTATCGCCAACGACCATACCACGTTGAATACACCAGTTCTCGTCCGATCACTGAAGTTAAGCAACGTCGGGCGTAGTTAGTACTTGGATGGGTGACCGCTTGGGAACACTACGTGCCGTTGGCAATTTTTTAATTATTCCAAAAATGATACTCCTTTTACACTATTTAAGAGATTTAAGTTTAACCCTGAGTATGGTGAAATTTAATTCACCAGATATTTAAATTGTTTTTTTTTAATTAGGATTTAATATAAATAATTGTATTCGTAAAAAATATATACTATATTTCAAATCCATTTCTAACTTACTGCATTTTTGAAATTAAGATTCTATAAAACATCGAACTAGAAAATGATATTATAATACATTTAACTAATGAATATCTCAGAAAAATTAAGTTTAAATTATTTTTCAAGTTATTAAGAAATAGAAGCAAAGAGTGAAAAAAAAATTAAAAAAATACCAACGACACGTAGTGTTCCCAAGCGGTCACCCATCCAAGTACTAACTACGCCCGACGTTGCTTAACTTCAGTGATCGGACGAGAACTGGTGTATTCAACGTGGTATGGTCGTTGGCGATTGCTGAAATGATTTGTTAATAATTTATATTGTATTACTTATGTAATGTATTTACCGTCTCGCTTTGAAAAATTTCTAATTTTATTATTACTTCTCTGTGAAATTTAATTTGGTAACTTAAAAATGTATAATAATCAATTTAATCATAAAAAAACATAATAACTTTAAATTTTTAATGAATCTTAATTACTATACTTTATAAAAAAAAATATTTTTTCTTAAAATAAAAACATTATAACATTGGTCTACAAGAAACATTCATTAGAATCAAAAATATATTTTTCTAATTCAATTTTTCGCACTGTTTCAAATCTAAAATTAGACTTTTTTGATCATTTACAAGTTTTGATATTATTACTAATTTTAAAAAAATAAGTGTTTACATAAAAAAAAATTATTAATAACAAATTGTTTTTTATTTTATATTACTTTAATTTTTAATATGTTATAAATATTAAGTGCATTATATCATTTTTATATTATTTTTTTGGTTCTTTTAAGTTGACTATAGTAAAACATTATAATAAAGTAGTATATTATTATATAAAATAACTGCTAAACTTTTACATAAATAAAACTTTAATGCTTAACATAATACAAATCCGTTTTTACTTCTGATATTAATAACATTAACGCAATAAAATTACACATGTATTCCATGATTTTTTATCTTCACTTTAAGATTTGACTTAAGACTAAGACCCTTATCCACTGGGTAATGGCGATTAAATTTTTTTGGGTGCTAAATGTAATTTTTCCTTCGCCAAAATGTTATATACTAATAAATATGACTTTTCAAAAATTTTTGGGGTTAAGCCCTCAAAAAGTTTACGCAAATGGCCTCCTACCAACAAAAAAAACAACTTATATGAAATTCTTTATTATACTTATAATGTTATATTTATTTATGATTAATATTATTATCAATTATAAATACTCTTTTTAAAAAATATATATACATATATCTATATATGGTGATTCTTTTAACGCAAGCAACTCAATTTCCCTTAAAATAATTTTCATTTAAATCAATTTTTAAGGGTAATGTCTTCAACTAGATATGATTTGTGATCTTTTGACGTATTGTTGAAAGAAATCCGTTCGGTGAGAGCTGAGAAAAAGTGGTATCAGACACAAAAAAAAACACATCATAGTAAAACCAATACCTTCTCAGCTTCGCATCGAAGCTAAAAATTCGAGCTAAAAAATGATATTATAATACATTTAACTAATGAATATCTCAGAAAAGATTAAGTTTAAGCCATACAGATTAACACTGAGGAATATTTTAAAGATATAATGCAAGAGTTCTTTGTATTGCACTCTTCGACAATATTTTAGAAGATATTTTTTATCTCTGGGCTGTCTCTAATAACTTTGGTCATGGCTTTCTGAAATTATAAAATTTATTCAATGTTTATCAAAATAGACGTCTTGGGTCTACTACATACCATGCCTCCTAAATATCAAGATTGATTTCTTACAATTGTTGTTTTATCCTTCTTGTTCAAAAGTTAATGTGTAGCCGGTCAAGTTCCACATAGCTCGAAATCGCATTACCCCTCTCCGTGTAATGACGACAATCGTGTCCGGCACTACCGGCACCTTGCTGTTACTACGTCGGTGTACGCGATTGAAGTCGTACCGCATCTTTTGGGTCTGATGACTCGTGGCCAGTGAGCTGGCGAGTTTTGATTTTGTTTCATTGTTTTTTTTTTTGGTTGGTATTGGTCTGTTTAGGCGACAACCAACAATTTATATTACCCGTTACGTGCTATTACGCGAGTGCTCAACTGAAATAGAGCAGCAGAGGTTGACATTCCATACGCAAAAGGAATAATTAATTGGGAAGCGTTTTGGCTGTCAATTCAACGTTAATTACACTATGGATGGCTGATGGCTGGGTGATGTTTTGTTTTGTTTGTTTTTTACGATTATTATTCTAATGTTAATATATTGATATATTGAATATTTATTAGTTTGTATATATATATATGTATAATAAAATTACTGTTTGGAATTAATATTATACGATTGTCAAGTAAAACCCCCCGATCCGTCATTTATGTTAAGATAATTAACTTAACGTTAAAAGTATAAAGTCGTGAAATAATTTACTCTGGGAATTATAAGTTTCATTTCATTATATTTTTACACTTCTCTTTAAAATGTTTATAATGCTATTGATAAACTAACTAACTAACCATAAATTAAAAGTATAAAAACCTATATAAGTGAAAAATTATTTATTCAACATTACTCAAAAAGCCGATTGGAAAGAAACTTGACCAATAGTAAATTGTTAAAGAAAAATTATAAAATGGATGTCAGATAAAACCCAATTCTGCATGTAAGAATCAGACACTTCAAGTATCAAAATTAAATAGCTAATTTTTTTATTATTGTAATTTTGGCTTAATCTTGTACGCTTTTAGATAAATTAATAAAAATATATATACATAATACTATTAATACAAAATAATAAAATAACTTTGAATTTCAAATATGGACATTATTTGTTATTACACAAAAAGTGAATTTTCACAAATCGATCTAATAATTTCCTATTCTCTTAAAAAGAAAAAGTTAAAAAATAAAACTATTACAAAATATATAAATATATATTAATAATATAATACCATGTATAGAAGTGAATGTGATTGTTAACGACAAATAAGAAACTCGATTAAAAGTAAACACATTTTAAATTAATAATGAAAATGATATGTTCGGTTCACTGTCTTAAAATTAAACTATATTTTAATGTTCACCACACTATTAAAAATTTATTTTTCCTAATCATGTTCTAATTGTTGAAATTTACTTATTTCATTTTTAAATTAGAGGACATATTTTTTATTTCCACATAGGGGAATGTAATATATATAATATAAACTTATACTATAGAGGCGTTAATTAAATACATAGGCATAACTAAAATAAATGTTTAGTGTTAATATAATTTTCCTATCCAAAACTACTTTGTGGAAACTAGTGTATATTTTAACTGATTAAATAAAACTAGTTGTAGTGATAAATTAAGTTCGCGTAAAATACAGAAGATTGATTATACTACATCCAACATTTGTCTCGGACATTTCAAAAGTTAAAACAAATATAATCCATCAATTAAAAATTTACCCAACTTTCTTCAACCATATTCACAACAAAGCATTTTATGATAGTATTAAATAAATAATATTAATTTATAGGACTTTATTTAAAACACAATGAACATGTAAGCACATAACATATATTTTTCCAAAAGAACACAAAAGGTATTTTTTATAAATAAGAACTAGTGTATTAGTGTACTAGTTATATATCACTTTTATGACTCACAATTATTGATGACCTATACAAATAAATAAATAAGTACTAATTTAATTAAATTATAGTTCCTACTAAACCATCAATGTGCCATAAAATATTAAATAAATCATATTGATTTATAGCACAACATGGTTTAATTCGGAGTCAACTAAACATAATATATCTATAATTTAAATAAAAATTTAATAAATATTCATATATCCTTAATTTCATGGAAGACTATAATTTTTAAATTTATAACATAACACCTTTAATCTTATTATTTAAGTACTAAATAAATTAAGATAACATAATATTATAAGAGTAATAACACATATGTTATTTTTATAAATGAAACAGTTGTAAAAAATGTTTTTTTCTCATTAACTCTCATCAAATAATACATAATAAACAATAAATGGTATTCATTCTAAGTACATTTTTACATTGAATTAAAATTATATTTCAAGGAATCAACTAGTAAAAATTTTAATTGAATCTTGCTTAAATATAATTTAGTTTTTAACATTTTTTTCATCAAAATTATAATTCCATGTTAATAATTCATCAAGTATTTTAAGCATTAATGGATTACCACCAAGTTGCTCTACTTCTTTTCTTGCATCATTGTCCAGCTGCGTCAATACTTTCCTGGTATGTTCAAAAGAGCCATAATTGTTTAACAGCTTTACACAATATTTTTTTACTTCAATATTTTTTGTCCTTTGTCTCAAAATATCTGATAAATTATTATTAAGAAATCATTTTTAATACAAAATAAATATAACTTTAATTTTTAATTTTTAGCAAACATTTATATACAGTATAAAATTAAATCAATTTATATTTTTAAGTTGCCACAATATTAATCAATGCTTCCATTAAAAGCCAACTTATAAATTCATTCATTATTATTTTTCGAAAAGTAGTTATTTAAATTATTTCATATACCTTCAGAACAGTAAATTTCTAACATATAAGTGAACATTTTTTATTTATTTTTCTAAGTTAATAGATTTTCTTTAAAATAATTTGAGTATTACATAAACATTTTCAGTATTTTTGAAATTGCCCATTTTAAATTCAGGGCAACAATACAGAGTGTTATTTAAGAAAGGAATAGAGTTTTCATTATTTTTATTATTTCTTATCATTGACATATTTCCTTACTTTGTATAATATCTAATATATATAGATATAAAAGGATACTCATTATTTGACTGTCTTCTGGATGACTGTGAATAGCATGAATAACAGGAAAACTGAATTTTCCTTCAGTTAAATCTTCACAGTAACTTTTGTTTTCTGAATACTAAAATAAATTAAGAAGCTCATTACATTTTTATATAACAAAAAATTAATTATCAACTACAATTTGATAAAAGAAAACCCAGCACAGGGGGGTCGCGGCACAGTTGTGACGTGGTATAGTTGGATCAAGTATAATGATATCTGACAGTGTTTAAAATCACTATCAAAAATAAACGCTTCGATGCAAATCTTTAGATAGTGTTTAATTTTAAAAAAATTGGTGTTTTATTCCAAAAGCTACTTGATCTGCTGGTTCCTTAATATCTCGATTAAGATAAAGTATGTCGAATGAAAAAGGAGGTTAAGTGTCAGATTTACAAAAAAATATACCAAATGATAAGTAAAGACATCAAGCATCTATATAAAAAAGAGTTATATTGATATGTTCATTTTTGAAAAAGTTAGAGCATTATTAAGTTAAAAATATAAAAAAAAATTATTTTACAAAAATCGTAATTTTTTATTAACTTTGATGTCAACTTTCACCACGAAGACAAGTCCAGAGGTCAAATTTTTTTTTTTCAAATTAAAGTATATTACATTAGCTTTAATTTAAGATATATATAAAAGTGTCAGACCTTCCGGAACACTTTCAAAAGTTAAGTTGAAAAAGTTCTACTTTCTATATGCATTTTTTATATTTGAAGCCCCCCTATATATAGGGAAATAGTCTGATTTAAAAAAATATCCAATGTANTATAGGGAAATAGTCTGATTTAAAAAAAAAGTATATCCAATGAAAGATGTATATAAATACTACTTCTCATGAAAAAATTGTATTGATCCATACATTTTTTAAAAAGTTATAGCACTTTAAAGTAAAAAATGTCAATTATAAAATCAAAAATTTTCACACAAAAATAGCATTCGGTAGCCGTTTTCACCATGAAGACAAGTCCAGAGGTCAAATTTTTTTTTTTCAAATTAAAGTACATTACATTAGCTTTAATTTAAGATATATATGAAAGTGTCAGACCTTCCGGAACATTTTCAAAAGTTCAGTTGAAAAAGTTAATTTTTTGTGAAAAAGTTGTCATTTTAAATCCCCCCCTGTGGGCAGGTTAAGTGTCAGATTTACAAAAAAAATATACTAAATAATAGGTAAAGACATCAAGCATCTATAAAAAAAAAAATTATATTGATATGTTCATTTTTGAAAAAGTTACGGCAGTTTTTAGTAAAAAAAATTGAAAAAATTTCGAAAATTAGCGATTTTTAAATTTGTAATTTTTTTGGAGGTTTCCCCCATTTACGGGGAACGAGGGAAATTTTTTCAATTTTGAAGGGTAATGTCTTCGACTAGATACAATTTGTGATCTTTTGACGTATCGTTGAAAGAAATCCGTTCGGTGAGAGCTGAGAAAAAGTGGTAACAGACACAAAAAAAAAAAAAAAAACACATCATAGTAAAACCAATACCTTCTCAGCTTCGCATCGAAGCTAAAAAAAAAAAAACTAGAAATACTTTTATCACTTTCAAAATTTAATATTTTTAAATAACTAATTTAATAAGTAAATATAAATTTTACTTTTTGTAATATACCAAAATTGAGTAGAATAACATTTAATTGTGTAAAAAACATTGTAAGTTATTAAAAGTACAGAAATAGGAATTTGAAAATAATATTTAGCTGGATAAAATTAATTTAATCAACAAACTTCTTGTAGACATAGATTGCAATAGTCATCCCGTATCTGGAAATATAAGCCTAATATTCCAGTTAGTTTAGTAAAATCATTTTCATTTTCACTGAATAATTGCATAAGACGAATAGCTAACATAAATAAGCCTCCAGTTTCTGAAAAAATAATGAAATTGAATAACAAGTAAAATTGAAACATTAGATAAGTTAATTTTTTGAAATTATTTACTTTATTCTGAAATTATACAATTTCTTATGAATATAAAAAAAAATTGATAAATTATGTTGGTCTTTAAACATCAAATATATATATAAAGTTTAAATGAGATTACATGTTAATAAATACATAAATATTTTAATTGCTATCATATTTAAAAAAAATACTTCAATTTAGTTTAAAGGTATGGTAAAGGACAAAAAGAGAAAGGACTTAAATTGTTATTATATGTATAAGTTAATAGATAAAAAATAAAAAAGTGTTTTAATAAAAAATTAAAATGTGACTTGTTATGAGAAGTTTTACAATAGGGTGTTAAGATACTAAAAAAATTTTGCTAACTCATAATTTTGAGTAATGAGTTAAGAGCTTATAAGTAGATGTGTTGTATGACAATGAATTTCCTAGGGACCATTCTTTTAAGATTTTGTCATTGACATTATAAATAAGATTGTTTTGTCTATAACAGTATCATAATAATTTAAGTAATTATATTACTTTATTTATGATGTTTCTTCGTCACAGAAAACATATTGTTCTATCACTTAGGTGTTTCAAATTTGTTATATTACAAATATAAGCATTTTTAATACTCAACTTTACTAAAGAACTGTGCAATCATAGCTAGATAATTAATAAGTAAAAATTAAACAATGAAGAGCTTATAAACAGAGTATATTGACATTCTCAAAAGGAGATGTAGAGGATATAAATCCCCATGATGAAGATAAATATATAGTAAAGAAATATTTTCATAGAGATAATCAAATTTTTATTTATGAACCACTTAAAGAACCCAATAAACGCCATTAAAGAGACAGATTAGGATATAGCAAAACAATTTTAAAAATATTTATGTACTAAACTAGAAACGAGTAAAAAAAAAAAAAGAGTACTAAAAAAGTCAAAGTTAAAATGGTACAATGAATATATTTACATTAAATGTGTATAATTAAATTATAGTTTTAGAAATTATTTAACTTACTTCTAATAGTCATTTTTTTATATTCTTCCTCTGTAGGACAAGTATAGTTATCTCTCCAATATATTTCCATTCCTTGTCCACGATGAAGTTCAAGAACTTGCTCAGTATACACAGTTGTTGCCTAATAGATAAATTCATGTATTTCACATTTCATTATTTGAAATTGCTTTAAAGTTGAATTTTTAATTCATTTAAACCGAATTAATGAGAAGTATCAATTTAATTACCTTTGGGTGCCCTAAACTTAATGTTCGTTCCAAGGCAACAAATGACATGTAGTTCGCCGCATTAATGGTACTAGCTACCCCATAAATGGAATGTGCAACAGGTATTCCTCTTCTCAAAACTGAATCATCTTGTATGTCATCCGTCCTAAAATAATTATGTTTCACTTAATTCAGAAATATTAAAAACATGATAGCATTTAATGTGTTGCTGTAGAAGCAGTCTTGTATAAAATATTTTTTTTTATTTTCAGAATAAGTATTTGAAAAATGGTTGAAAAAGATAATCAGAGTATTTGAACGTTAAAAAAAAAGTATAATTTAAAATATATTTTTGAATATTTGAAATGATTATAATACTCGAGAATGTAAAAACAAAAATAGTCTATTCAATATGAAATAATTATTAGTTAAAGAATAGAATTTATTCATACATTTTTTAAAAAGTTATAGCAACATAATGTTAAAAAATGTAAAATTTAATATCAAGATATTTTTCACAAGAATAGCATATTTTAGCATACGGTAGTCATTTTCACCATGTAGACAAGTCCAGAGGTCTTAAAATGATAGGTGAATACCTAAGGNGTTCACAAAAATATATAAAATGATAGGTAATTATCTAAGGTATCTATAAAAAAAAAAATTATATTGATTCGATCATTTTTAAAAAAGTTATGGCAATTTTAAGTAAAAAAAATTGAAAAAATATCGAAAATTAGCGATTTTTAAATTTGTAATTTTTTGGGGGATTTCCCCCGTTTACGGGGAAAGAGGGAATTTTTTTCAAATTTTGAGGGTAATGTCTTCGACTAGATACGATTTGTGATCTTTTGACATATTGTTCATCAAAATCGGTCCAGCGAGAGCTGAGATTGAGCGTTCACAGACACAAAAAAAAAAANAAATCGGTTCAGTGAGAGCTGAGATTGAGCGTATACAGACACACAAAAAAAAAAAAAACCCAGCACAGGGGGGTTGCGGCACAGTGGTGACGTAGCATAGTTGTATCAAGTAATATGATATCTGACAGTGATTAAAATCACTAAAGTTGTTATATTAAATCCCCCCCTGTGGACAGATAAAGGGTTAGATTTATAAAAAATAAATGCCAAATGATAGGTAAAGACACCAAGCATCTATAAAAAAAAAAATTTACTGATCCATACATTTTCCGAAAAGTTATAGCATTATTAAGGTAAAAATATAAAAAAGAATTATTTTACAAAAATCGTAATTTTTTATTAACTTTGATGTCTATTTTCACCACGAAGACAAGTCCAGAGGTCAAATTTTTTTTTTTCATAATAAAGGATGTTACATAAGCTTTAATTTAAGATATATATAAAAGTGTCAGTCTTTCCGGAACATTTTCAAAAGTTAAGTTGAAAAAGTACTACTTTCTATACGCATTTAAAAGGTTTGCACCCCCCCCCTGTATAAAGGGAAATGATCCCATAAAAAAAAAAAGTATATCGAATGAAAGAAGCATATATATAGTATTTATTATTAAAGAATAGAATTGATTCATGCATTTTTAAAAAAGTTATAGCAACATAATGTTAAAAAATTAAAATATAATATCAAGAATTTTTTCACAAAAATAGCATATTTTTTCATACGGTAGTCATTTTCACCATGAAGACAAGTCCAGAGGTCAAATTTTTTTTTTCAAATTAAAGTATATTACAGTATATTAAGAAACTAAAATGACTATGTTNTTTTTTTTCAAATTAAAGTATATTACAGTATATTAAGAAACTAAAATGACTATGTTATATACATAATTTTATGTCAAAAACTTACAAAAATAAAGATATTAAAAATACAATATATTTATAAATAATTAAATTTTAACAATTAAAAATAATATAATTAACATAAAGGCATTTTTAAAAATAAATTTTACAAATACTAATAAATAATAAGCAATATCTGTATGAACACTATTAGAGAACTTTCAAAATTTTTTTTTTATTTTAATTGGTTTGATTGACCAGATACCAGTAGATGAATCGTTAACGGCATAAAAAAAAAAAAAAGTTAAAATACTTCTATCTGAATGCTTTCATTCTATTTGTACAATATTGTGTTGAAGGTAGCCATGATTTTATCTCATAGTAAACCAACATGAAGACAATTTTTTTTAATATTGTAGTACACTTCATATGTTTTTACTAAATATCGGTTTAAAGAATCTAGTCGTACCTGAACATTTTCAAAAAAAAAGTTTTTTTTAATTATATGGTCACTTTAAACATTTTTCTGTATTTTAGATTTTTATTTAATTTCCACAAAAAGCATACCAAAACAAAGCTTATTGTTTGTTATATACCTTATGCAAATATCCCCAAAATTTAATTTTGAAAGATTATTAGCAAAATTAAATAATTACAAATCTTTACAGGAAATGTCCGATTGTTATTAATAATGTCAAATGTGTAGTCTTGTAATATTCAAGTAAGACGTTATAATGTTTTTTGTAATTTTACAAATTAAACTTTTTATTTGCATTACATTGTATTAATAAATAGTTCAGGACAAGCTATTCGCCATGATTAAACATGTATAACTCAAATTTGATATTTTATTGGTCACTACAATAATATCTTGATGGTACGATATCATCACTAATATTTAAAATAATAAAACATTATTAAAGATAAGAACTCAAAAGAAATGTAATTTATAATCAATAACGTTTATATTTATAACGTAACAAAATCAAATTTACAAGGTCACAAATTAAGTTCTTGAATAAGTCAAAACAGAAGTTAAAATTGCTTTCTCAGAAATACTTTCATAAAATAATCATCAAATCTAAGCTTAAAAAATATATAGATTATTGAAGTTTAGTAACAAAAAAAAATTTGAACGATCAGTTTTTTTCATGTTTTTTATTTTACAATATATGAATTTAAAAAAAATCCAGCACAGTGGGGTTGCAGCATAGTGGAGACGTTGCATAGTTGGGTCCAGTATAGATTTAATCTGATAGTGATTAAAATCACTATCATAAGAAACGTTTCGATGAAAATCTGTAGATAGTGTTTAATTCTAAGAAATTGATGGATAATTACAAAAGCAACATTAACCTTAATATTAAAATAGCATATTTTTGAATACGGTAGCCATTTTCGCATAGAAGATAGGGTGTCGGGACAAATTTTTTTTTTTCATTTTATAGTACATAAAATAAGCTTTAATTTGATATATGTTTAAAGGACGCAGTATTTCCGGAACATTTTCAAAAATTAAGTTGAAAAAGTTAGTTTTTGTAAAAAAGTTGCTATTTTAAATCCCCCCCAATGAGCAGGGTAAGTATTAGATTTTCAAAAAAATGATATCAAATGAAAGGGAAATATCTAAGGTTTTAGTATAAAAAAAAAATTATGTTGATTTGTTTATTTTTGAAAAAGTTATGGAAGTTTTAAAAAAAAAAGTGAAAAAAATGACAAAATTTACCGATTTTTAAATTTTTAATTTTTTTGGATATTTCCCCTATTTTTGGTGAACGAGGGAATTTTTTTCAATTTTTAAGGGTAATGTCTCCAACTAGATACGATTTGTGATCTTTTGACGTATTTTTGAAAGAAATCGGTCCAGTGAGAGCTGAGAAAAAGTGGCAGTTCTTACAGTAGACCAATTATCGGGACGTTTTTCTTATCATGTAGTTAATTTAAAAAGCTTTAATATGACATAGTTTTTAATTAATTAGACATCCCAAAACGTTTTTGAAAATTAAAATTAAATAAAAAATTTTGATGTGACCACATTCAAACCCTCCTTGATCTTAATTTTATCAAATTTTTATAAAATATAATATTATAAACAATATGTTTTAAATATTCTTTTTTTTTTTTTTTAATTAAAAGAACGATTATTATCACTAGTATTTATGATTAAAATTTTGTTTACATTGATGAATTTTTAAGTGTATAAAAAAAATTCTGAATTTTGAGATATTTATATTTCAACAAAATCGGTCTAATGAGAACTGAACTAGTATCATGGATGAGAATAAACATAAAAAATCATGGTAAAAACAATATTATATAAGCTCAAGGTTGTTAAAAACATATTGAAAAAAAAACCTATTTAAAACATAAGTAAACAGTCTTATACTTTTAAAATGTACCATAAGATCAATATAAAGTTTGAAAATTTCGGTGTTTAAAACAGACCCAAAATACTGTTTTAAACACGAAGTATCTAAAACGTAACAACCCTGTTGCAACTTCGCATCAAATCTATTAGTAGCAATTTCATTACTATTTTTTTAACCAAAATATAACAGATTTTCGCTATAATTATTATAGAGAAAAACTCTGCTTTTCTAAAAAATTACCACCAAACTAAACTTTATAAGTAAATTTTAAGATTAAGGTTAACGAATCAGTCTCAAATTTTACATACATTTTTCATTACTATTAAATCATATTAAAAGTTTGAAAAAAATCTGTTTTTGATATTATACTGTTTAATTATCACTTATTACTGACAAGAAATTATCTTAAAAATTAAATGCAATGGGAAATACCTGAAATCATAATCGAAATCAGCGTCTATATTCCATATATAATTCATCTAAATAATGTAAACTGCAGAAAGTATTATATATTTTTTGTCGACCTAAGAATACAATTTGAATAAGTTTGGAAAATTTTATGGAAAAATTTGGATAAAAACAATTTATGAATTTTAAGTTAACACTGTTATTAAAATGTATGATTAATATATCACTTTCAATACTTCTTATGTCCACAGAGCTACATATCATATTCTATTACATAATAAATTAAGGCATTATCATACTTAGTTGCACAATTAAAATAACATTTGATTACTGCAATTATATAACCATCATTTAACCTTAATTGTTCATAATAATTAATATACTTTACAAATCAAAGTTATAAATAATTATTATTAAAAATAATAATATAACGTCATAATATCCAATTAATGATTTTTTATACTTTCATAGGGAGATTTCTTTACTGAATACTACATATATAGCTATGTAACTCAGTAGTGCCTCAGTAGTCGAACATCGAGGTTCGATTGGAAACTGTATTGATTTCGCAGTCCTCTAATACAAGAATTAAGTTTCTTAATTGAATATGTTTAACATATAAACAAATCATTTTTATACGTTATCATATACTAATTTATTAATACTAGGCGGAGCTTAACACGGGCCCTACGAGTTTCAAGCGCTTTTGGCGCGTAAGCCTTTTTGAGCCGTCATTATAAGTAGGTCACTGATTCAGGTAGGAGCATCCAGCTACGCGCGGACACGATAAGTGTTTTGCAGAAAAAATATTCCATCGAAATAAGTGTAATAAAAATATATTCATCTTCTTCTTTTTCCTCGAATTTACGATTTTCGACACGTGTCAATTGCCGTGGTAAAATTGTGAATCGAAAAAAAAATCGTTTTTATGTCGGAATGTTACAATAAATTAAGGTGGCGCGCCCTGAAAAAATCGGTCAAAAATCAACAGATATCAACAAAATTTTCAAGGTACCTTTGGAATGTCTCTGGGCAGGTCTGGAAGTATTTTTAGGTTTTAAATAAAAAAACGCTGGCTGCAATGAGCATTTTGGATAACATTTTTAAAAGCTCACGGTGTACTAAAAAATTTTTTCTTGTCTTCGCCAATAATTTTCTAGGAATAATGTCATCGAGCACTTTCATTAAAAAAAATAAATGTTGAAAAACAGACATCGTTAAGTATTTTTTCCAGCATTGGCTAATTTCCAATGTTTTATTATATAAGACCCGTGGCCCTACGACCCATACGCGTCAAGGCGCGTAGGCCTCTTCGGGCCGTTATCATAAGTAGGCCACTGATTCCGGTAGGAGGTCACGACTACGTCGGGCACGATAAGTGTATTGCAGAAAAAATATTATATCAGAATCAGTGTAACAAAAATATATTAAAAATTTAATTATTAAAATCATGAAATTTCAAAAAGAGAATAGTAAAATGTATTGAGTATAAGGTTGACGTTTGTTAATGAGGTATTTCCCTTATGTGTATTCAGAAATTATTTTAGGAGGGTATTTAATATTTTTTTTACTTTTTTAAACATGTTATAGAATTTTTTGCTATAAATCAAAGTGATGACCAAAAAAAAAAGGACATTAGGTCATTATATCTTAGAAGTTGCCAAATAAATATTGATAGCGCTGGTTGGCCACATCCCCCTTAAAATACACAAAAATTATTAGGATTTTAATAATACGTGGGACTATATAAAACATTTTATTTTGATAAAAACATTGGTAACTGTGATTTGACATTAGTAAGCATAGTTGTAATATAGTGCTATGTGCAAATGCAAAATAGTGTCCTAATAAAAATATATGTTACACAAATTAAGGTTCAGAATAAACGTACGCGCAGAAAATGAGTCAATGCCCATATTAAAACAATGAACTTGGACTAAAAAAAAAAAAAGCTCGTAAAACATAAATTTTATCATATCTCAGTAATGTCATCGGTCGGATCTGGTGAAAATTTCAAACCTTAAGTAGTAAAACACTGGCGTCAGCGAGCGTTTTCCTCAAAAACGGTCGAGGGCGAACAACAAAAATTTTCTGACCTTCGCCAATCATTTTCCCGGAGTCTGGTGACCAAGTACTTTCGTTGAAAAAAAAAATTTTAAAAATCCAATCATGCTAAGTAATTTTCCCAGAAAGCGTTTTTTTCCTTGTTTTATTATGTAATAAAATATTAAATAACCTAAATTACTCGTATTGGTTATGTAAAGGATTATATAAAATACTAATAAAAAAAGGCGAAATAAATTTAGAAACCTCAGAGGTTTTCAATCCAAAATTCATATAAACATCTAATTTTATATTAAAATTAGTAATTTATAAGGTTTTTGAAATAAAAAAATTAACAAAAAGATATTTATTTAAAATGAATAAAACATTTTCTTCGGTGCCACCCTAAAAAAATATTTTTAAATACACTTTTATAAGAGCTATATCTATATTTTATGTGTTAGAAAAATGAAAATATTTTCCCAATTTTCATTTTGTTTAAGACCAGAGAGGAATTCTATGCGTATTAATACTATTTTGGTAATTTTTAAATTCAATTCATAAAAACTTCATAGAAAATATTTTTTATGTTTGTCTATGTAAATTAACAGCTTTCACTGAATCTATTATGTTGGCTAATGAGACCAAAAACCATGATTTTAATATAGTTGAATGTGTTCTATTCAAATTAGAAAAATTACTTCAATTTTAGAAATTTATAACAATATCTTAAAATTACGCTATTGTAAAAAAACAGAATTCTCAAAAAAGATTTTCTACACTTTAAAACTGTTTTAATTTTTTTTTTTAATAATACTAATCCTCATGAAATTTATAACCACTGATGTCCTAACTATGATGTGACCCAAAGTTGCTGTTTTTTTTAAATTAAAACAGATTTAAATGTGAAATTATTACTATTCATTGTATTTTTTTAAATGAACTTTTTGAAATATGTGTACATCAAGACAAATATTTTTTTGGAAATTTATTAAAGAAAAAAAATTTGATGTGCCAAATAATTATGTTAAAACCACCTGTACTTAAGATAACAGTCAGAACATGTTTTAAACACATTTTACAAAAAAAAAAATTAAAAGAATAATGTCTTCAATCAAATTTAATTCGGTATTTTTGTTTTATAATTGAACAATGTTGATCCAATAGATTTGCGTACATAGACAAATAAAATAAAAAAACAAATATTAGTAAAATCAATACCTCTTCAGCTCTGCATAAAGGTAATATAAGAGTTTTAGTCATAGAAGACTAACATATTTTAGAAGTTAATTTCCAAACATTTTAGAAATTTTTCATTTAATTTTTAGATAATCTAGAAATTAAGGCTCAATCAATTAGTATTCTATCATTTTAATGCTATAATTTTATCTATATAAATATAACTCCATTACAAGATTTTTTTTTTAAATTATCAGTCAAGCAATAAAAACTTCAAACTCTTATAAATTATGTAGAGTTCATTAAACTATACATAATTATGTATAGTTTATAAATTGATTATAATCAATTTATTGAACTAAAATGGTATCACTCTTGTAATCTTTATTGACGCCTAATGCAAAGTATAAATAAGTTATATAATAAACAATAAAATATAAATAAACAAATATTGATTCTATTCAAGGAAAAAAGGTAAAGAAAATTTTTTTGAAACTTCAGTAAAAATTAACTTTTAGCTTACATATAGTTTGTTGAACTCTGATTTTCCTAGATTATCTAATTTTCTGGGTATTTAACAACCTTATAATAATTGTGTTATTGCCAATGTAAAGATATAAGAGATAAACCAAAGCTAATCTACTTTTAAAAATTCAAACTTATCTAAAATAAAATAATATTTTTATTTTCTGTATACTTACAAAAGACTAGAATTATGTAACATTTGAACAATATCTCCAATAACAGCTAACTTATCAGTGGGTATTTTTAACCAATAATTGAATGCTAACGCTAGTTTTGCTCTTATTTGTTTTCCAGGGACTTGCATGATGTATGTGAATGGCTGTAAAAGTATCTAAAAATTATAATAGATAAGTACAAGTTTTTATAGAATAAGTGCATATGAGATCAATTAAGTTTTGAATAAAATTTCCATCTACAACATTAAAAAGATAATAATTTTGGCATATTATGATATGATTATGTGATTTATAAAAAATTTCTAGCATTCTGTTAAACAAAAAATCGTTTGGATAATAAATACAGTAAAATTAATAATAATTACTTCATCAGTCTCTCTTTCTCCAGATGTACTGTACATATTTTCCATTTTAGAAATTTAAGTAGAATTTTATGATGCAATACCAAAATTATGTAAAGAACTTTATAATTTAAAGGATTACTAAGTACTATATGCAATATCTTATTGACCAACCGATCGATTTATAAAGAACGGTTGTTATCATATTTAATCATTATATATTACTGATAAAAATAATGATAAAATATCCATTAAAAAATAATTAATGTTGATAATATGAACGTGATTTGTTTATATGCAAATTCTAGAAATGGAAACACGTGATTTGGATCCCCGGCAATAATAATTCCTTAGGATCAAAGTTAAATAGCTAATTAAAATTAGAAATTATGTTAAATAATTGTTTTATTTATAAATAAATAGTTACCTTTTAATATTTGTATGTATAAATATATACTATATTACGTATTAATTTTTTTATAAGAAAAAGTGTAATAATATTTTATTTATGAGCTATTTATATCATTAGTTATTTAAAACTGCTAACAAATAAATTAGAAAAATAAGAATTATGTGTACTAACATACCAGATCATCTATTACTTGTTATGATTCGCACATTAATGGTAGACACTGACAAAGATTTAAAAAAAGAAGTTTTAAATCATTTACTAAGTAAGTATTCTGAAATTAAAAATTCTTAAATATATATTTTTGATTATTACCTTAGAACCTAAATAATGTTTAAAACGGAATAACAAATTTTTAAAATTAATTTTTTAGGGCAGACTAATATTGAAAGTCAAATTATTTTGGATAATATGAATGAATTACTTGGAGGACTATTTCATACTTTGGAATCCGATAACTCTAACAGAGAAATCGCTAGTATGTGTTTAATAAATATTGCAGCCAAAGATAAAGGTCATACATACATATTTTCATATTTGCAGAAAAATCATGCTAAAAATAATTCTGAAAGTTTGGTAATAGTTATTTATTATATTTAAATTTATTTCATTAATATATATATTATTTTTTAGGTTATAATTTCCAAAATGATAGAATACATAAACAAAGAAGCCTCCCAAGTTGCCAATGCAATTTTAATGTTGCTTTGTAATCTAACACGAGAAAAAAATTATGCATATATTATATTTCAAAGTTTTGATGAACCTTTTAAAACATTGGAGTTATTAATGAAGCTGTTTATAATGAGAGATTTGAAAGAAGAAAAAAATTATGATTATATATCATATCTATTATCTAATTTATGCCAACTTCATGATGTTAGAATGTAAGGGCTTATATATATTAAAAGATATTAGCCTGAAAATATGTATTTGTTCTTTAAATATATTGCAGATGGTTAATGGATAGTGGAAGTTTTCCAAAATTATTGTCATTTTTAAATCATAATAGCTCAATTCGCCGAGCCGGTGTTATAATGACCATAAAAAATTGTTGTTTTGAATTAGGTAAATTTTATATTTCAATAAAAAAATTGAATAAATGTAGCCATTGTATATACTATACTGATATACAAATTTAAAAATAACATATAGAGATTTACTGTTAAAATTCTATGTAGACATAAATGATAAAATTGAAACATAATAAAAATAATTTTTGGGGTACAAATTGTTATTGTGGATTATATGATTACCCGCCTTACTTAAAGGACATATTGATAGAATTTTATAATTAATTGTTGAATATTTAAAAAACTATCAAACAGTTGATTCAAGTATTTAAATACTACCATCAAATAGTTATAAAATCTATTCAAATTCTCTTATATTTATTATATTAGTTCTACTGATTGTGAGTAGTTAAATCAAAAACTGGAAAATCCTTCAGGTAATGTTACTAAAAATATGCTTAGATTTATGTTTAAAAGAAAATGATTGATTTGAGTAAATTTACCTATAATTTTGTTAATTTAATAAATTTAATTAAAACTTTGTACCTCCACGAGGTTTTACTTAAGATCTTAAATGTTGCTAAAAATTTAGTATTGTCTTTATATGTGAAAAGTCATTAGTGTGCTAAAGCCAAAAAAAAAAAAAATTGAAATTTTAAATACATCTATTAAGTTGATTTATAAAATTTTTTAAATATTTTAACCATGGATGCCAAGGTTTACATTTTTTGATGCTTTTACTCAAATGCTGAAATTTACAATAATTATTATTAATCATCTATCTATTTTTCAATTTTCAGTATTTTACATTTCCTCAATGAAATTTAATTAATAAAGTATCTAAAAAAAAAGAAATTTCAATAACAAATTTTTTTATAAATTCATAAAACTTGTTTTTCTTATAGATAGACACTTATGGTTGTTAAGTGAAGACTTAGATCTACTATCGCGTCTTCTTCTACCATTAGCTGGACCTGAACAGTTTGATGACGAAGATAATGAAAATCTACCTTTAGATTTACAGTACTTACCTGAAGATAAAGAACGGGAATCTGATCCTAATTTAAGATTAGCAATACTCCAAGCTTTGACTCAGGTAAAAATTTTTACTTATATTATATTTTATTTATTATTATTAGTTTACTAATAAATTGATTACAATAATAAACAATATTCGTATTCATTTTAGTTGTGTGCTAAAAAAGATAGTAGAGAGATAATTAGAAATCAAGGTACATATCTTATTCTGCGAGAATTACATAAGTGGGAACCTAACATGGATTTGAAATTAGCTTGTGAAAATATTGTTGACATTTTAATCAAGTAATTTTTTTTGCAATATTTTTACTATATGTAGTTATATTATACAATATACAGAGTAATACTTTTAACACTAGCTGCTCAATTTGTCTTCAAATAATATTTGAGAAATTATTTTTGGCTTTCGATAGTTACATATGTATCTCCATTTATCTGTTATAACAATTTTTTAAAGTCCATTTCTCATATTTTATAAAAGTGTTAACTTTATTTTTTTAATGTCAATATATATATACATTTATATAAAGCTTAAATAATACAAAATTATCAATTATGAAAATTATGGATCAACAACAACCTTCAAATCAGTATTTCAGAAATTATTGATATTATTAATATCTAGATTAGAGAATGAGTGAGGCCAAAAAATATTAAAATATTAAAGATAGCAGCGATCATGCATCATGTCTAGTCTGTACTTAATTGTTAATAACTTCTCAAATACTTTTATAAGAGATGATAACGATTTGTCAATTTCTTAATTAGATAATTTTCTACTATTTAAGCTAGTTAAATATATATATTATTATTTAAAAGAAAAAAGTTGAGAGCCATATGAAATGTATGGAATGGCTCAAAAATGATTTTATAACAGATAAATGTAATTGTAACTAACAAAAAAAAAAAGATTTCTATGTATTTGTATAAGGTTTAAATGATTAACTTGTTACTATAATAAGAAATATCAACTCCTATTACTGAGTTATTCTCTTGTTTCTGCAAATGAAGCTATCTTAGATAGAATATTGAATGTATTGGTACACATTAGTGCCATATGCAATATCAACTTGAGAACAACATTCCTTCACATTATATTGAAATATAAAATTATAATTCATACAAATTAATTTTAGGAATTTTGTTTTTATATTATTAAAATTCTTTAATGTAGAATAATTGTTTTAATTATTCAAATAAATGAACAGTTAAAACATTAGTCAATTAAAAGTTGTATAAAATTGTCAATGTATACTATTTTTAATGAAATTCTTCAGCTAAAATTTAGAGAAGATAAAGTACTTTGACTATAATAAACTTTTTTCTAAAATAAAACATTTATTTATTTACAATTTTAAATAATATTTTTTATTATTTTTAGGACTGAAGATGAAATAGGTACTGATAATTTCCATGAATTAAATGTACCCGAAGAATTAATACCTAAGTTTAAACAAATGGACGAAGCATATTTAAGTTGAAATTAATTGTTTATTTTAATGAAAATTCATTTTGTTGAAACATTTAAAATTTTGTTTTTAATAATAAAATAAAAATTTTAACATTGTAAATTTATAAATTAATTATATTAATTATTAAACAAAATTACATTTACTCTACAAATGTGTTATTTGTATTACTAGGGTAAATTTTCTATAAAAATAGTTAAATATAAATAAATTTTTAAAAAATCTAAAATTTACATTTGAAAATAACTTGTATACAAAAATCTATGTAAGTATGTATTATGAATTATCACAATTTCTGCTAAAATACATAACTTTATATATAGATATATATATATATATACATTTACAAGAATTATTATACTTAATTTTTAAAACTTAGTGTATTATGGGTTTACATAAAACATATCTAAGACAAAGTTAATTTTGAAATGAATTTCCTTTTGTAAAAGTTACACAAAAGGTAGATACAATAAATATTACACAAGATTCTACTTTAATATTGCATAGATCAATACATTCAATCACTTGACCTTTCTGTATTTAATGTTAGCTTAATTTTAAACCATTAGGAAAAGACAAACAATATTCTTAAAAAAGCATTAAATACTTTTTACTCTTTTTAAAAACTGAGTTTTTATTAGAATTCAGTATTTACATGATAGAATGACACCTTGCAGAAATAAATTATTGAGAAAATACTATTTTCATAATAATAATTTAAAAATTTAATTAAAAATGCTAATCGTATTACGATGTTATCAATCAAAAATAGTATTTAGATTCATCTATGAATAAGTCAACCGAATTAAGGATAATAACCTAATGAACTTGTTAAGTCTGTCCGAAATATTGTAGATAAATCACTATCATGTATTGAATGACGCCTTTTATTTAAATACATCTGGCAGCTGTTATGCATCATATCTGAACTGTAAGACTTGTTCATAGGTTTAGCATGACAAAACTGTGGTGAAATTGCACCAGGGTAGTATTCGGAAAAACGCTTAGGCACCGGAACAGTAATTATCGGAGCTCTTATTGGATAAGCGTTTGGAACGCGATTATTTTTTGTATAACTACTTCGAATCCATGCAGATTTACCTCCTAACAATGGTTGTGGTTTTCTACTACATGCAAATAGCGCATAATCTAATGCATGAAAATTATCCGATCCACTTGATTCGGCAGTGCGACGACCATGGCAACTCGAACCTGACTGATCACTTGAATATGCGGCTGCAGATGAACTACTAGAACGAGAATCAAGTGCAGGTTGAATGTCATAGACTTTCATTCTTCCTGCTCCTTTGTTAACTTTGCTATATTGATGTAATGGATCGTTCGTCTTCATTTGTAAATACTCCAGGCTTTTGGATGCCTCGATTCCACACTTTGCTGGACCTTGTTGCACAAGTAGTTGTTCGTTTTTTTTCCACGCAGTACCCGGTGAATCGGCTCTAACCGATAAACTGGACTCGGACGCAGCAAACCCTCGACTTTTGAGCTCCTCAAAAATGTTGGGTCGTCGACCACAGTAACATTTATCACTATCTGCACAACTGTCCGAATCACAACTACACGAAACCAATGACGGAGGTAGTCCACTACAATAACACTTAGTAAGTGACGGACAACCACAGATAGTAGTAGCTTGACTACACTCGGAACAGCTAAAATAACCGCTGGAAGCCTGATGTAAGCACCCGTCAGATGACAACTGACCTCCTTTTCGAGTTTTTGGGCGTTGAACTTGTATTGCTATAAAATCACTATCGTCTGAGGTACTGTTGGTCGATGACAAACGTTGACACTTGGCGGCTGATGTTCGTTTTAATATTCTTTTATTTTTTCGATGTTCTGATTGTTTTCGATTTATTCCCGTTGAAACAATTCCAGCCGGTTTGGGAAGAGTATTTTTTGATGTAGCTGCTTTTACATTCGAACATGAACATTTACGTTTCTGATGACCTTTTATAAATCGTTTCCGTTTACAAAAATGTGGCAACAACACGGTACCAATTTTTGATTTTGCCTTAGCGCAATTTAAAACCTTTCGCAGACATTCGTTAATTTCCTGACCAGTTTTTGAACGTTTCCGTTTTTGTTCTAACATTATAGATTTAGTACGCTGGTATAGTTCATCTTTTGTAAGGGTCAACGCTAGTTTCATAAGGAATTCTCGGTAAATAGGTTTTAAATCGTTAAACGACATACCCTCCACATTTATGATAACGTTCAGTATATCGTCCATGTTATTCAGCCCTTCTTGAATACGTAACTCGTTAAACATATCTGAGAACCCCATAATACTGCCATTACTTCTTCGACGTCGATCTGTTTCGATGCCACCGCAACCAGCAGTACGTCTAGAATACTTAGATCCAGGTGCATTGGTTTTAAGGAAACTTTTACTTCTAGGTATAGCAACTTTTGTTAAAATATCTCCACCACTACCATTATTGATTTGATCTGGTGTAGCACGCCGAATGATTGGTGATGTCTGAGGTAACGCTGTGTTAATTGAGCTGTTGCACACACCCCGTCTTAGTGAAGGTGGCTGTCGAATACTCATACGAAAAGTTTTTGTTTCACTACAAACCTCAGCGAGGGAAGACGACATACCGTCAGACGATGAAGTTGTCGATTTTTTAGTCCTTCGTGGAGGCCTAGGTGGCGGAGCTGGCAAAACTTGATTTGATGTAGTACAAGCACCATTAACGCTGGACCCAGCAGTGCTGCTCATACTAGTAAAACCATTTCGTTGTTTTATACGCCTAGGTGCAGGCGCAGCTGACTCGGTAGCAATAGACATTGCTTTCACTAAAGCACCATATAAGTTAGCTGCCATCAGTAGTGCATCATTTTCAGATTCACATACAAAACCATGGCATTCAAGCTGCTTGCCGGTTTTGCGCATAACTACAGCAAATATAGGTGCGTGGTCACCATGGGCGTTCAGCTGAATAATTTCATTTTCATTAGCGTCACAAAACAGTGGTGCTTTATCAGACCCATCTGGGTCAGCGATCAATGGTAGAAAAGCAAATTCATAACTTTTAGTGGCATTGTTTATTTGATGACGACGACAAACAAATTTTAGAGCAGCCCAAACAGCGATGGATGGAAATGGACTAGTTCGATGAACTCCATCGCCACCAATATCTTTGTACTTTATGGTTAATCCAACTGACGATATTTCTAGAACGCCCGAAAAATTATTTGGACTATTATATTCTTGATTTTTTCTATAAGCAAAATACATGTTTCGAACCGGTTCTTGAAGACCTTCCAGCGATGATATCTTAGCGGACAAGCCAGCACATCCAATGTATTGTACGTGATACTTATTAGCACCCTCAGCAGTAGTTGATTCCATTGAAACATCTGTATCGAGCTCGGATGAACTCACTTCAGCGAACATTTTTTCAATTTTTTCTTGAACCGTATTTTTACTAGCTGCATCATCACCACCAAATCCATAAACAAATTCGTTATCAACAATGGATTTAGTAGCCGTGGCTTTGTCGAACATACTATCAATGCGTTTTTTGGATGCTATTGAACTAGCAGTGTCATTATCATCGTTAAGTATGTCCACTTCTGTCCCAGGCAGTCGTAAGTTATCGTGGTCTGCTTGTAACCTAAACCCTTCCAATCCATTCTTGATACTTTCATAAAAATGATGATTGGATTCGTTCTGTTGATAACAATCACTATAATCATTTCGCCGACAATCTCCGTAAACGCTGGAAGGATGCAACATCATTTTTAAACGCACCGATTAAGTTTTTTTCATTTAGAGGCTCAATTATCTGCAATAAAAAAATTCATCTATTATCACTTAATTTGTTAGATGTATTCTAGTAAGGATGTTCAATATAATTTAGAACTGAAAATTTTGAACGTTATCTGATACGAGAATTAATAAAAATAGTATTATATACTAATAAAACTAGTATTTTTATTAGTTATAAACATACAGAGTAGTTTTAGCTTCGATGCGAAGCTGAGAAGGTATTAATTTTACCATGATGTGTTTATTTTTTTTTTTTATTTTTTTTTTTATTTTTTTTT